GAAATGCTGTGCGTGCATGGGGAGGGGGCCGCGGGGGGGGGAGCCGCTTTCTCTCCGCGATTCACATCGCGCCCGCTTTCTCGTCTCGTATGCATGCCTATCCCGGGAATGGTGTAGTCAGCCCGTATCTGAATTATTTATAGACTCGTGCCAGCTGTTTTTTTTTTTTAATTTTTTTTTTAATTCAGCTTGTGTGCACTATTGGGAAATGCGTTTTGCCTTCCTTTCTTCTCAATATATTAATGTCTTTGTTGGGGAGCGTTTTCTATCCCCTTCAGATCCCTCTAATACAGAATTGATGCTTATTTTTCCCTTCAGGAAGGGGACGCTTTGAGGATAATCATGCTTCACAGAAGAACGGCACCGACCTCCAGTTGCATTAAACACAACCTCCTCCACTAGGGCTCCAGGAAAAAAAAAAAAGAGAGAATAATTATAAGAATAATCATTAAAAAGGCGAAAGGAATGCTTACTCTGGAACCTGCATTTGATGATCCTCACCACTCGCGCTGAATATCCTCTGAAGTGATTCTCTCCAGCTTTTGAATTTGCACCGCTTCAAGACGCAAGATTGCCACAAAGAAACATCTATTTTTTTTTACAGCCAAATAGGATTGTTTTTTAACTCATTCCCCCACATTTGCCCCCGACCCTTGTTCTTCTTATGTGGATATGCAAGCAAGAAGAGGAGACTGGACATTCCCAACATGCTCTCTCCCTTGATCTGTCCGTCTAGAGGTTCTGCTTCTACAAACCAAGGTAGGGAAATTCCTGTTTCTGTGGTTTTGCTTGCAGCTCATTTTGATACGCGGGTTTGCCCAGGGAAGATCACTCACGGTAGAACAAAAGGTTTAGAGATGCTGCTTTTAGAAGCAGATAGAGGGGAAAAAAAACCCCCAACATTTACCAGACATGTTGATTCCCTCTTGGCTCATCAAATAGGACATGAAGAGAAGGCGAAAGGGTTTGACTTAGGTATACCACGTTGTGAATTGGGGGAAAGTCCCTTGTGATTTTTTTTCGGGGGGGGGGGGGGGCAGGTGGGGTCGGGAGAGACACGGTAGGAGGAACACGGCTTTGGAAAGGGGTGAAAACGAAAATAATTTTCATCCATCCACCCGCAAATTGCCTCCTCCTTTTCACTGGTCCAGCGGCTCCTTGCCATGCTTTAATGCGAAAGCAGAGCCGGTCAGCAACAACAGGACGTAGAAACCCGCTTGTTGCCGGGGAGGGTGGTGCGTTACCGAAAACCCACGCCGGCTCTCGATCGTGAGCGGCCTAACGCGGGGGCCGGGGCCGGGGCCCGGGGAGTGGCCGGGGCCGCCCCTGGCACCGCGGCAGGAGCCCGCCCAGCGCCGGGGCCAGTGCGCCTGCTTGCGTGGAGGTGGAGGGCTATTTTAAGTCCAAGCACGTCAAGCGACTTAGCCTGAACCTACGAGGCGCTGTATTCAGGCAACTTCACGTGTTTTAATTTATCCCCGTCCCCCTGGTGCTATCAGCGGGCATCGTGGTCCCTCTTCGCCTCGCCCCATCCTTCCCCCTCGCCATCCCCCGCGCCTTGCAGCCCCTTCCCCAGCCCACTCGGGAGGGATGCAAAATGGCTATCGTGCCGCTCGGCTCTAGATACGCGAGAGATACCGGTGCATCCCGACCGTAACGTGACATGTGAGTCTTTCCGTAAGATGGTGGCAAGACAAAGGGAGCCGGGGGGTGCGGGAGCGCCGGGCACAAGGTGTTGAACGTCTCGGGGTTATTTTAAGCCTCAGCCCGTGCCCGCC